CCTTTTACTTCATATGAACGATGTTTGTAACTGCACTCATTAGTGTATTAGGGATCCTGCTGTTGGGGGTTTCCTCTCTTTCAGTGATGGACACAAAAGCATTTTAAGTGCTGATAGCCCCCCCTTATGGATCATTATCAATTATTTTTTTTAAACCGAGTAAAACTAAAGAAGAACTAAGGCAGCAGACTTTAGATTCCAAACATGTCTTGGCTCATTAACTACATTAGTGGTAAGGAGAAATTATTTTCTGCCAAACTATCACTTCAATGTTAAGAATAATTCTGTCTGGTTGTTTTTTCCTGAGTATCGGTTATGAGCAGTGGATGTGGGTGAGACGGAGCGAGAGAGATGCAGTGAAAGGAGGACGGGGCTGCACAGGGCCTGGGGCGGTGGCGTCGTTGGCAGGCGGATAGATGGTGGGGGCACAGGGCTCTGGCTGGGTGGAGAAGGGCCTGATAAGGAGCGGAGCGACAGGGCTGCAGATAGCACTGCTGAGCCCTGTGGGAAAGACAGAGCCGAGAGATTAGGGTCAGAGAGAGAGAGAGAGAGAGACAGAGAGAGAGAGAGAGAAGAGACTAAGAAAGAGAAGGAAAGACAGACAGACAGACAGTAAGAGAAAAGAGAAAGGGAGAGAAAGAGCAAGAAAGAGGGAGATAGAGAGAGACAGATAGAAAAAGAGTGAAGAAGAAAAAGAGGGAGACACTGAGATATAGAAGGAGTGAAAAAGGAAAGGAGAGAAAGAAAAAGAGGGAGAGAAACAGAGAGAAAAAGAAAGTAAAGGGAGAGAAAGAGAGGGAAAGATAAAGCCGTTACTTCCTTAGCAACACCAAAAAAGGCCCAGAGTTTTATTAAACACTTCTATAACCTAAGAATAGCTTAACCAGTTTGCCTTGAAGTCCCTGTAGTTACTGTATAATAAGCCTGTAAAAAATATATAATAAGCCTGGGATTTTAAGGGGTTAATTGAATCTGTTTTCAAATGTGTTTATCATGTCCATTCAAATCAAGCAACCCAATTTTGTCTTTCAGTTTACTCACTGCTGGCAATACCTGTGTTGATGTGTTTTTAATGATGTACACTTTTTGATCAAGTAACTTCAATACTTTACTCT